CTGTCCTCACTGGATCGGTATCACCACCTAAGCTCAAAGGAGCCCAATGTGGTTTGCCACTCAAGATCTCTGATTCGGGATGTGATTTTTTTCTCCACCATTGTTTCCGTTTCTCCCCCGTTTTGCCTCGGTTGGCTTACTGTACTGCATGATGCACTAGCCGGATCGTGCCTATGCATGATACGCACATATCCCCCTGTCACAGTGCATCCGGGGCGACCCCAAAGGGTTGAGCTCGGCCAGCTTATCTCGGATGGGTGATGCATGTAAGCGCACGTACGCTCCTGCAGAGCAGGCCACGTAACCTACGAAATACCTTAGCACATTGAACCGGTGACTTTCTTTGACCATCGTCATGTGAATGGAGAGCAGAGTGTAGAGCAGAGTTATGCCCAACTCCAAAACACCAGACAGATTCATTCCGGGTTCAGCTTATTAGTAATGCAGCCGGACACCGGAAGCGAACACCGTTGAATCCACCTGTTAGACTGTTTCTATCTGTGCCAGAAAAGTATCTTCCTTATGTTCTGAACAGGCCGAAGCTGTGAGTACGCAACCGTAGTGGACTTGCTTTTCCATAACCTATCATTGTGTAGGTAAGCCGAACACTAGCTGGCAATGTGCGCATGCCTAGGATGAGGGCCGCCAGAAATCCTTCTATGTATGCTTCCAGCATCAACTGTTGTATTGTGTTCAACGATTTGTCCACGGCCCTGACCTAAGTGGGCCGTAAGTAAATTGGTCCGGTTGCCATTTCGAACACCGCCTTTTCATTGCTACATCGCGTCCACTTTATATACGTTGTATTATGTTATACCCGATTGTTTTGAGTCATGACCTAACATATCCTGTTGCGTTCGGTTTATGTGTATCCATCTATGGAAATCCCGTACTATCACTCAGGACATTGGAGGGTGTCAGGTTTACGATGGTGATTAAGGTGACCCTCTGTGCTCAGACCCAGTTGAGCAAAGAATAGCACCAGATAGACACGTGTGCCTGTGGTGTGTCGTATGAGTTGTGCGCGTAGCCGGATTTCTCTTCACATACATTGTGGAGCCCAACTATTCAGATGGTCGGGATACCTCAAGAATTTCAAACTTTTAGACTGTTCAGGGCGCGCTGAGTTAAGTTTAATTCTCTCTGGATCTACTAGGGGTTATCCTAATTTGTATATTCAGTAGCTCCAATCAGAAGTTGAAATTTCTCCCAGCGGTATCACAGAAATACACAGGATCTCTAGATACAGGGGAACACTTGAAAGATTAGGAAGATGCGGGCGAACTTTCCTCTTCGTGTCAGCGATATTTCAGTGTTGCAAAAGCAGTAAGATACAGGTAGACTGTGGGATAAAAATAACGCTGTATCAATAGGACCATACAGAAGCGTCACAATTAGCTCAAAAACGGTGTTGCGTCACACAGCAAAGTTCTGGTTTAGTTGGTCTTGTTTGAGCCATGTCGTGTGATGAACTCTGGTCACGTGAGCAGTTCAGCTCACGTGCCTCATGTTCAGCTCAGATGCCTGATTTCGGTCAGATGCTAGATTCGATGTTTGTACAAATTTATTCTAGGTTTGTGGCTAGGAATCCTCAACTCTCAGGTCGTACAAATCGGTTCTTTTGTGTCCACAAGAACTTCACACAGAAACTACATCTAACGTCGTCCAGAGGACTTCTTCGATTTTGCAAAGGCAAGCGATCTCAATCATCTCGGTGGTAGAAATCACGTGATCAGCGTTCAGGTCATAACATGGCCTAAGCAGCATCATCGACATGATTAAATCATCATTTTATTTGCGTGACCTATCACCGTCTCTTCTGTGCTTGCACACCTCTGTATATATTGGTCGGATTCACCATTTCCACATATTCGTGAGGGCCAGGAAAATGGCATTTGCTGAGCTTACTAGTAAAAAGCACCCCTTGCGATTCCAGTAGTCTGCACACGATCTGCGGGACTCGTCAGTTGATCNTAAATTGACAATAACGGTTCAGCAGTTTGGCTTTGAAACTTCTCCTTTCCTTCATACCCTTCCCTTATTTCACGGGGCTTGCGCCGAGTACCGAGCTTTCAGGTGAATGCACATGCAGCTCAGCCCTAGCCGAGTGAGGCATTGCCGCCCGTGCACCGGTTTCCATCGGCCCAGTGAGATATGGCGGGCCAATCAGGAAACGGATGCCGGTCCCGCTGTTGATTCATACTTGGCACCATTAGTTCACGCACTGCTTCCAGATACGGATTTGCTATTACCAAGTCATACATCCGTACACTCATTTGCTCCTTGATATAACTTTAATGTTCAGCGTTTACCAACTTATGCTTGGTTTGCTCACTTGAGTTCGCTGCATACCATCTAGTTGTTTCATAAAGGAAACTACTCACGAGGTTGCTGAAAACTCTTCTACAGCCCATGACCGGTTTCGCTCTTCTTGGTGCTCATCAGGTAGGCGCAGTCCCCGAGTTTCTGTCAACCTTATATTCTACTTGTACCCGAATTGGACTGTTTTCGAGAAATACACTCACTTGAAAATCAATTTGGTTTTCGTGAGAGACTCAACTGCAGCACATTCAGTTGTAGAATACCATAGACGAGAGATTCAGTTGAGTCTCTCCTGAAAACCAAATTGATTTGCAAATGAGTGTATTTCTCGGAATACTAGCTGGTTCGTTTTCCCGTCAGACCTTTTTGCTCGATTTCTGCCTGTCTAACATGGTTTCCATCACGTTCGACACGGTCAGTCAGACGTAGCTAAGACCACAACCCTTGGCTTAATATATTCCACTTGATGTATACGATGAGTTGGGTTGGTCCAAACCAAGTCTTCTTTCGGAACCTTTGTTCGATCAAACCTGCCAACTACAAATCCCGGGAGGCGTTCGAAAGTATCTTAACCATTTGCGGCGTCTTCTTAAAATAGCACAGGATTACCTCTCGGAGTTGTTTCTCTAATTGGCTTTACTGGTTATTCGTTCAAAAAATTCTCCAAACCTTTCCAGAAGGGTTCTAATGAATGATGATTATTAGAGCCATGAACGTTCAACCTCAAAACAGCTTCTAGTTGAGAAGCCACAGCGTTCTTCTATTCTGTGGGTAGCAAGCTGCCCGTGAGAATTCCGTGGCGGTGCACTAGACTTCCAAGTCTTGACAATCTTCACAAACATCCAGTCATAACTTAGCATGAACGAAAAAATGACAAGTCTGCACAGACTCTACTCGACTGTAAACACCGCATGTTTGTGGATTGCAGGGAGAAGTTTTCGGTTTTTCATTATGCCAATCAAGGATGAGAGGTCATAATTTCCCAAGTCCTAGTCCACGCTGGCGTTGGGAACTTGTCGGATGGCGTAATGCTACTGTGATGGCTTATACAAAAGATTGCGCTAATCACAACGACAACCGGGGTTTCTGTCATGAAGTGTTACCCAGCCGTAACCAGAAGAGTAGTCGCTAATATTGGTCCGCACGACTTAATCGTGGGAGCACTGAATTTACTGGGTTTCCAACCCCGTGTCAAGGGGTCACACTGGTCACAGTTCCAGACACTTAAATCGTTCAGCTGTGGCACCGTTTCAGTGCCTAACTGCCATGCCACCCGAAGGTTTCACGAGGGCTGGGATACTGCCAGGTTGACCAAGCCTAGACAGGGGAAGTCGAAAGGTAGAGGTCAGGCTCGAATCACGGCTCTAACCACTTGAGCCATCTCGCCCCCTCCAAGTACTTAGTCGATTCAGCTATCTTGATACAATGGCTTGCTTTCCATAAACTAGCTTATTTTATTCACTTTTAGTTTGTGCTGAAATTGTTGACGAGTTCTCTTTGATTCGATGTCCCCTTTGCCAAGGAATACGACTTATCTGCAAGGATTCCTCCGTCCCTTCCCACCACAGAAATGTCACTGTGGACTACGAGCTTAGTCCTGTTGCATGGTGCACACGAGGCCATGAAAGAGTTTTAAGCGCGCATCCATGAAAGTTTTCCACAATGCTTACTGGGTGGTCGTGCTCATTTCGCCCGCCCCGCTGTTGAATGGTCCCGGCGTTCAGTTATAAGCTATTTTCTGGAAGACATTCGTAAAAACAGCCTGTTTGTAAATCCACGCCTAAGCAGGCTTACTCCTTGTTTTGCGATAATGCTTACCGGCAATTTTGTATACCGTAAATGATCTGATTCAAGCCCACAGGACAAACGAAGACATACAGTACTCCTTACTTAGGACAACCCACTTCTATAGTGACTACCTCACGTGAAAGCGCACATTCCCCTTAACTTTGTAGCGATCGAAGTTTCACAGATTTATGGATACAGTGTTTCACCTCAGGGATCATCAAGACCGCATGTTACCGTCGGTCCGCCGGTCGGTTTGCCGTCCGTTAAACATAGCAAAGTATAGATAGATGACTCGCATCGAAAGTGTCGCTTTGCGACAGTAAGATAATCAATCAATCGATATTCGTTTAACAGCATGTACGGTTGTGAACCGGTGATCAGGTCATCCAGAAGTGGCTAGAATACTGTGCGTGGCCGACCGACTGTCAGGACAAAACGCCATTCAAAGTGAAGGTCTTTACATAGAGCTCATATGTTCGTGCAGGCACTGGACCGCGCGCTCAACCTACATTACGAAATAAGTCACTGTTTGCGATGGCTTTTAAGGGATCCTATTTGTGCTACTTTCAAGATGTTTAATCCCGTAAAGATGAAGATTTCTCAGGACATTGAAAATGCTGCAGGAATCGTGTGACACTGGAACACCACTTCTTTCGATTCGGTGGTATTAAATCGATCACCGGGTGTTGTTTTCAAGCATGATGAATGTGCCTATTAATACCATGATGATAAGGCAGAAACCTTCCGATGACCTTCTGGTTCTACCAAATGTCCGTTAACATAGCGAATATACCTTCATTTGCAGACTAATTTGGTTTTCTGAGAGACTCATCTGGAACCCAGCTGAATCTCTCATTTGTGATGTTTTTAGGCAGCACATTCAGTTACCTGAAATCATCACAAATGAGAGATTCAGCTGGGTTCCCGGTGAGTCGCTCGCAAAACCAAATTAGTTTGCAATTTAGTGTATATTCGCTAATTTCGTGCAATTTCGTTTCAAGTCGAACATAAAGTTGACGGAAACTCGGGTAGTGCGCCTACCTGATCAGCCCCAAAAAGAGCGAAACCGATCGTGGGTTGTCGACGGATTTTCAGCAACCTTATGAGTAGTCCGTTAACACAGTTAGGACACTATGAGTGTTTTCCAGGACGTAGATCGCAAGACTGTCGTTGACCATTTGAAAGATAGAGTTGTCGGCCTCTGTTCATCAGAACTAGTCACGCTAAAGAATGCGTACCGTACATTCAACTATCGAACACCACAGTGCGTGGAGGTGCTGACGAGCATTCTATTACTTGGAGCAGATTCCGGTAAAAAAAAACTACGCTTGTTGATCCCTGGGGTTGATGATTAGCTATTCTAAACATGGCAACTCATCAGCAAGTCAGATAGGGTGACGATGTTTGTGATAGTGGCATGTTCGAATGACTACTTTTTTCCGGTTCACTTGAATCTCTTACTGACCATACAAATCCATAAGAATAGCAAGACGAGATTCGACGCGAATAACTCGCTATATAGGTTAGGAGAAAGCTCCCCGCAGTAGTCACGTGTGAGAAGGGCTGATGTTTTCCAGGACAGATTGGGTCACACGTACCATCAGGACCATACAATATACATAAACACAGCTGGTTTTTCGCAAAAAGGTCAACGTATGTCGTTCCTAATTAGCATAGCCAGTCAACCTGTCTAGGTACATACGCCACCATAGCACTATGTGATCGAACAGCAAACCAACAGTAATGATTTTACTTGTGGTCTAGTGAGGACGGCTGTCAGAGTTACAGCTCAGTTCTTGCTACCTTACGACTAGAGGTGATTTACAAAATGGTCGGAAATGATCCGAAGCCTATGGGCTTTTAACATCAGGATATTTGTGCAATCATTTTGCCCACAGGCTGCATTCCAATTGTTGCAACCAAACGGTATCTTCGAGTGGTCCGTTGTATCAGGACCTCCGGGAAGGCAAAACAAAGTCGGAGTTATGTTCCTACGCAGTACAACTATCACAAAATATACAGACGTCGACGGCAGATACACGTCCACAACAAATAGTCCACCTGAACTATAAAGGTACAAACGAAATGAGCAAAACAGGTTCACAAGTGCGACAGTCACGCGGGCATAAGGTCGGCTAGATGACCTCAGAGTCAAATGAGTGAAGTGGTAGGGACGAACCAACGCCAATTCATATATGCGCACTAAACAGGAGCTCCTTGCCCACACAATTCTTTTACCTGCAAAATCTTTGGGAATGGCATAAAAGTTTTATGCGAAAATGTTGCATTTTGTTCGTACATGCTCAGACCAAAAACCACCCCAATACAACAACAACAACCCATTAGCATAATACATTACGAATTCACATGTGTCGCGATATCTCGAATATCGTAGCGACTGAAACATGGGGCGGCCTGGTGCAGCACAGTCAGTTGCCTGGAAACATCTCAAACGAGAGATTCAGCTGGGTTCCAGGTGATTCTCTCCCAAAAACAAATTAGTTTGCAAACGAGTGTTTTTCATCCCAATACACGTTCGTATTTTCGCAGATCACCAAACTTCATTGTCAACTGAAGCAATCATACCTCTGGCCGAAAAATACTGGTAGGATTCTTCCCTACCATCAGTGGGATCTCGGGATGCCTAGAAAGAGCTCAAAAGTTTGGACTGGTATTCCGAACTCAACACCCTGTCTATCACGTCATAGCTTTCGAAAATTCAATTCCATTGTGCGAATACTGAGCGCCCACTAAACACGGTGGCGTGGGGTTCGAATAGGGGTAGAAGAAACGTGGGGAATTTCAAATGTCAAAGTAGTGAACGATACACTAATACCGATAACTTCCCAGTCATGTAAGCCAAGTCTGAAGTTCTTCCATGACACTTTCTCATGAAAGATTTTGACAAAATACACGAAATGTCATCAACGTTGGATGAAACAGCGGGAAAACATGTGCACCACGAATAAGGTACCACATTTTGGCAAGTATCCTGGGCTTACCATTAGGAATTGTCAAAATACATCCGTCGTAGTTCACTGTCACCAGAACCGATCGGACAATCTTAGTCGGATAGTTTGTGACCCGAAATTTTCGAATAAAGTAAAGATTGCAAAGTGTCGTATTATAGACTGCTCTAAAATACTTATGCACTGATGGCAAGCTACGTTTCATGCAGACCAACAGGATTCGCTGTGTACAAAGGTGAGCCCAGAATCCATCTCCTGCAGCTGCAGAGATGTTTACTTTGCAGGACACAGATTCCTGACGGAAAGTGTCAGGTAAACAGACGGGTCAGAGGTCAGAAGGCGATCCCGCATCAGATATCTGTTGGATACTTGCCATCGAAATGATCTGGTCAGTCCCTTCCGAGTACTATTGCGCAACACATACCCCAAAGTTCAACGATAAGCAAAGAGCTGCTGATCAAATCAAACGAGCCCCGATTATGAGGACAGAAACAGCGAAACCTTACGATTAGGTCATCCTGGCCGTGATAAAGTGACTTCCAGAGGTCAATTAATCAGTGTCTGTTCTACACTTTATTGAAATGTTGCGCATTTTTTCCGTCTGTGACTGAAGAGGAATGTTAACATATCGTAGCGTACATATTCTATAGGCTGATTAAGATTGGACAATGTTTCAAGAACCTATTTAGAATTACTTTCACACAAAAAACAATCAACATGATACACAAACTGCCTGTGCAGATGGAGAGGGCCATGTAACAAGAATTAGTCTTCCGCTCTTTCCTACTTGAGCCCATCATGGAATTTCTAAAGTAAATCAAAACTGTTTCTTACAAAACATGTTTAGCTCAAAAGCTGTTGGTAGCTCGGGGTGCCGAACATGTAGTTCTACTTTGCTTAAAAGCAAAGCTTAAAAGCTTTCCTCAAAAGCAATGTATCCAAGAGTGAGATGCTTTCTTGATGGATACTTTACTTGAAGCAGAATCAGGCGAAAAAACATACGTTGATGAGGATGAACCAAAAATACGAATGATACAAAAACTTTAGAGGGACTGATCGAATTTGTCGTAAACGAATATAAGTGAAACATCTATTCCTCTAAAAGTAACAACCGTTCAGCCGTAACACTCTTCCAGTGCACAGTTGCTATGCGAACGGAAGGAGGCACGAGGGATGGGATACTGCCAGGTTGTCCATGCATAGACAGGAGCAGTCAAGATGCTCAGAGCTTTGGTTCAAACCATGGTTCGTACGAATGGTAAGTTGGTGCCTTAACCACTAAGCTACCTCGACTCACTATCTGTCTTCCTTCCCTTGTAAGGCTTCAGTCTCTGCAGTTGAAAACATATCATCAGCTTTGTCCGCAAAACACTGACGAATGCACTTCTCTAGAAAAAATAGCGTAGAGTTTCTTCAGCTATGATGGTTTATCCGTGTCAGCTGTAAGTAAATGCTGTTGTACCATATGGTAAATATCCACACGGAAGCTCTGAAAAAACTCCGCTGACTGAAGACTGGTAAATGGCGTTCAGGTCTCGACTAGTATAAGTTCGGCTGTTTGACGGAAATCATGGACAAAGCCATTCAGTGAATTCGGTATGCATAGTACGTGTCTTGGAATCAGTGTCAACCATCAAAAACCAAGCAGAACTAATGGGATCGTAAGTCTAAATACTTGACACCCTGGATGAAAAGATCACCTGTGTTCCTATATTATTGAAGACAGGAGATCGATGTACTCACAAGAGTGCAGGATGAACTCCTGTGTCTGTTTTCGCCGTAAAGTAGGCCAGAACCCGAAACAATGACAAGTTTCGCTGGATGGCGAAGTCACAGGGTTGTAAAATCACAAGATGACGAATTAAGGCGACGCATGGGAAAGTGATGTTCGAAAACGGAAAAACCTTGCTCCACAGCATCATCTGACCGGTGGAACATTCGCATGAGCCAGGTCCGGTATGTGGGACGCCAGTGCTCCTACCAGTCGGGAATCACCGACTGAAGTAAGTTTCCTCTAACTCCCAGCGGTAAAACTCTGTCCAGACTACATCTCTACGGCCTTTGTGTTTATACTCCAATAGAAATGGCCTTCCTCAGTAGTTGGCAGCTGCCACGGGTCCCGTTGTCTATCGTGATATCATAGTTGAAATACAACGGGTCAGTAAACGATCTCGGTGCCCATTTGATGAACGCCAAAACGACCAGGTAGCTCTGTAGGGTCTCTAATCTCACTCTAACCGCTTTTTCGTACTTTCGTTGAACACTTAAACTTTTCCGACTGTTTTTTAATTATTTGTTTTCCCCGTCTCCAGTGATGATTGTGTTCACAGATGGTGATGTTGAACACGTCACAGCCGAGACCAATCCGCGGGACACTGGTAACCGCAGGCCCGTTGTGAAGGCATAATCAGCTAATCACACCGCACAGCATGCCACAGGGTGCAGATGCATTAGTTGAAAGTCTTTGCAGATCGACCAATCGATAACAGCACATTGATGCACCTTTCTGTCATGCCTGTGGAAATCGGAATTGAACTGTTCGCGCAAGTTTGACCCACAGAGGTATAGAAAGTTGTTCCGTATCAAATAAAACATTCATAAGTTTTTGTGGACCAGAAACTCAAAACCACTGTGGAACAGGGGGAGCAGTGCGGAAATGTGCCACGATTGGATTGGGGTAAACATTATGTGGGAAGAATTCTACAGTTAAACTGTGTGAACAAGGTGGGTAAAACTAGTGAATAGCACTCATTTGAATATCAGTTTAGTAATTCACGGTAGACTGACTCATCTGAATCTCTCACTTATGATGAAGAGCTCCCCATCCATGGTGAGACTTGGTGAACTGACACACGATGGAAGAAGTACTGGTCTTTTACAACATGATCGATGTTTTACAAATCTCAGTGCATCGTGTGGGTCCCGCTATTCGGTGGACCCATTAGAACTAAGTACATAGCAGTTGGTTCTTTTGTTGAGCTGGGTAGCAAACGTCTCGTCACTAGTCGAGGTGGCATCGTCAGTGTGTTGTGACTGGAATTTATTCGAGGTTGGAAGTAAATTGAATTCGGAAGTGATTGGCTGTTGCCAGTACATGGACTAATACAGGGTGCACTTACCCAGGTCGACCTTGACCGATCATTGGTCGTTTGTGGGAGCGTGCCCATCCACTCTCAATGCACAGATGTTGTCACCTCGACTGAAGCGTTTACCACTAAATTGCCCAAATGCCATCATTGCAGTATGAGCCACCAATATTCGCTTCGATTTCAGGAGAAAGTACATATTGATTCAGATATATCAAAGGCCTCACTGTCATAGAATAGTTCCGACATTCTCCGATAACCTCGGTATGAGCACGCATGGTTTTGCATCAGCTAGCAAAAACCTGCTTATGCAAATTTTCTCCACCCCAAGCGTATGAATCTCAAGTGTTTTGAACAATAATAGGGGAAAAGCTAACCAGTTTGTTGGTAATTTTTTGGAATACTGGTAGCTCGGGTGTATTAGTTGGTAATTGGTCAGGGGGCTGTTGATCTGTTCGAATGGTGACGAAACGTTTGCAAATCGATTGCCAAGCTCGGCGAACAGATAAACAGCCACCTGATCAATTACCAACTTAGCAGTTTGTATATTCCCTTTCCACTTTCTCAAAAGATCTGAATACCATACTTCTGGCATGTTTACGCCATTCCAACAAACATTCTCCAACTAGTTCAGCATACATAGGAACTCGGAATAACACATTGTCAATTGTGCCTATCATATTCACGCCTCTTGTACATGACGGTTGAATAATTCTCTTTGTTGACTTTCTTATACGATTACGACTAATTGTGTAGTACGTGGCGTTCAGGAACCATCGGTTGACTGTCCAAAGGGATATCTGACATTTGTTGGGGAAGTAATTTTCTTGGTCTTAGATGTGATTCCTGGTTTACCAAACTGTTGTTGGCCAATTCAATTACCTCTAGCCAGATAATTGTTTCAATGGAATCATCGATCGTCGAGAAAAACATGAGAGTTAGTAACCTGTTAGCTGGGAATTCTACCAGATGTGTGTGTGTGTGTGTGAGTGAGTATGAGGAGTGGCCGGATCCCGAACCGCACATGGCCATACAAGTGCTGTCATCGTTTTTGCGACTCACCAACTGGGCGTACAGGTGAGAAGAGTTAAAAACTTGGAATAGTTGACCTGTGCGTCCAACCGATGAGCCACAGTGGGTT